TCAGGCTTGTCTCGAACTCCTGACCTTGAGCGATCCACCCGCCTCGGCCTCCCAGAGTGCTAGGATTACAGGCGTGAGCCACCGCGCCCGGCCATGACTTCCTTTTTGACTCCAGTTTTTAATTGGCAAATAATAATTGTATGCCTTTTGACTCTTTTTTTCATCACAGAAGTTACTAGGTTTAAAAGCCTGATTTAATTATTATTTTTATCATATGGTTTGTCTACAATCTACCTGAGTTAATTTTGGGGTATTTTTCCTACTCTCTCGGTAACTATGCACTATTTTATCATTTTTCTAGTGTTACATTAGATGTCATATCATGTATAGGTGTTAATATTAATTAGTTTAATATTCATTACTTCTTTCTTGTATGTCAGGCAATGCAAGGAAATTAGACCGCTTAAATTCCATTTACAATTTTTATGCAGTTACTGTTCCTTTAAATCCCATAAGATATTATTAAGCTGTTTCTCAGTATTTATTTAACTTTACCTGTATATTTACTTTTGTTGTTGTGGTTATTGTTTTATATTCCTTCGTGCATTTTAAAGCCTCCATAGGGTTTGGTAGGAGGTTTTTTTTGGCTTTTTTAGTAATCTCTTAAGCACAAGTGTGCTGGTGATGCATATCTCTTAATTTTTGTTTATCTGAAAATGCCCTTCATTTTAAGAGGCATATTTTTGCTTGGCAGGTACCTTCTTTCAGCTCTTTGAAAGAACATGGTGTTGTCTTGGTTCCTCTTGTTAATGTCGAGAAGTCGCCTCTCAGTTTAATTTGGTTGTTAATTTTTGACTGTAATCTGTCTTTGTTTGATAGCTACTGTTAGGATTTTGGTTTTTCTTTATCTCTGTTTTTCTCTACTTTTGCTTGATGTGTGTAAGTGTGGGGTTTTGGTTTTTGTTTCTTTGTTTTAATTCTGACTTGTGTTTTTAGAACACCTTGAAACCTATGGTTTGCTATTTTCCATCAATTTTGGAAAATTATCGGTGATTATGTCTTCAAATACATTTACCCTCTTCTGTTCTCTCCTTTAGGGATTCAGTTCACCTCTGTTAGACCTGATCCTGTGCCTTTATTTTCTCACACACTCTTTTCTGTAGTTTTGTCTTGCTGTCCTGCCACGCTTCATTCAGGATATTTCCTGCCACACTGTTGTCCATTTTATTAATTCTCTCTTCAACTCTGTCTAAACTTCTGTTAAATCCATCACTGAGTTCCTAATTCCAGTTATTGTATTTTTGCAGTTTTACAATTTCTTTAATTCTTTTAGTTTCATGTTTTTTGCCAAGGTTCTCAGTGTCATTTTTTATATCTTTGAACATATTCAACATAGTTATTTTAAAGTCCGTCTCTGATCACTCTATAATCTGGATTCCCTGTGGGTCTGTTTCTGTTGTCTTCTCTTGTATTTAAATCTTGTTATCTTTTTTCTTGATGTGCCTGGGTATTTTTGACACAGTAATGGATGCTGTGTGTAAAAAATTACAGAAATAATATGAGGTTTCAAATGATGTTCTCTTCCTTCAGAGAGGATTTAAGCTTGCTTCTGACGGGTAGCTAGGGGTGCTAGCAACGCAAAATTACTTTAATCCATTTTTAAATTTTGACATAATTTAACATCAGACTTTTATCCCAGTCTACATTTAGTTCATCCTTAGTCCCAGGATGTAACCTTCGGAGTTCCAGCCCAAAGCATTAGAGATGTACTTGGACATAAGTTACTTTTCTTTCACCTCAAAAAACAGAATGTCTCTACTCTACTTTTCATCTTTTAATCCCCTTTTTCTAAAATCAGCAGATACACCTAGCTAGGGGCAAGCACTGGGGAAATACTAAATCTGCTTCTCTGTATTCTTCTCTCAGATCTTCACTGCCTTGTTAGCTTTCTGATGTCTTTAAACTTTTTTTTTTCTATTTTTGTCTAACTTTTCTAAGTGTTCTCAACAGAAGGGTTCCAATTACCTAGACTTACTGCCTTTTCTTTCATTATCACTCTTTTTTCATAAAGAAATGTTGTTTAGGCTTCAACTATATTTTTCTGACATGCTCCCTCAAAACATGTTTTTGTGACTTGAGGGTATTTTTGATGATTAGTTTGTTTCACACTCAAGTTGAGACCCTGAACAATTCATGGGTCCAGTGTATAGGTGCTGTTCACCTCGTGTTTCGAGACCCATATGGTGCTCAGTCTTGGCTTCAGGGCCTTGGGCTTCCGCAGAGGGACCTCATGGTTTTAACTAATTATCACCTTTTAGGAAAACAGACCCAGTATTACTTAATCCTCCATCTCACATCCCTTTTATTCTTTAAGAAAAGTCAGAAATTCTTATATTCATGGGATATTTGCCACTTCTTAAATGATGACAATTCATTTAACAATTTTTGAGGTATTATAAACCCAAGAAAACTTGCTGCAGGCTGGGTTAATTAAGCCCAGAGGTGACCTTGTGAACTCTGTCTAGAGCCTAAGTTTTCAGGTGCTATACCCTTGTTGCCCAAAAGAGCAAATATAGGTAGCTACCTGGTAGTGGGCTGAGCATCCAGAGAGTTAGATGTGGGGAGCTGCATATTTTGTATGTGAGCCTATAAAATAATGAAATTGGTCTTAGAAGCCACGCACAGTTCATCACTTTCCTATATTCATAATCATTACTCCTTATGAAATACAATTTCTCCTAGTGGCTCATTCCCCGGGACCAGGGTTGAGCCATCTATAGGAATATCAATTCTTAAAAATAAAAGTGGCATTTTGATAAAGAAGGTTCTTATTTGTGCCCCTCAAGAATTATAGCTTGACTTCTACTTTTATATAGGTAATTTAATTTTGAAAGTTAAAAATTTACTTTTATTCTATAGGAAATGACTCCAAAGTAGATGGTTTAGTAAACTTTGAGAAGCTAAGAATGATTGCCAAGGAAATACGCCAAGTTGTTCGAATGACTTCTGCCAACATGGACCCGGCTATGATGTTCCGACAGAGGTATGGCATTGACACATGTAAAAGTCCTAATTTACAGAGTGATGTTGAGGATGACATAATTATCATCATAATACTTACCATTTATTGATCATCTACCATTGTATGCTATACTAAGTGCTTTACCCATGTCAGTTTTAGGTAATCATTTACCAGGTAGGTAGTGTTAGTCTTCCTTTTACATATAAAGAAACTGAAACTCAGAGCAGTCTTTTTTATATAACTTGCTAAGATTTGAACCCTAGTTTCTATCTGCATTTTTAGAGTATATGGATAGTTCTGTATTGTTATTGTTCTTTAAAATATTAGCAAACAGATAGAAGAAAATTGCTGATATTTACTGAAATTATCCCAGAGGACAAATGCTTTCATCTGGTTTCTAACCCAATTTGTAAAGTATTAGTCTTCATATGTCTTTTACTGAATATTTGTAGAGTTCTATTTCTATCTAATTCATACTTTATTCCTCTAAAACATATTCCTTTTTCTCAAGTTATAATACTGCTATTTATTTGCTTGAAAGTTATTACATACAAATAAACAGAATTTAGAAAGTATAAATTTAATCATGCTTCATCTTTATTAAAAATGGAAAATATCATATCATTGTATTTATAGTAACCTGATCTAAGAATGCTATTTTTTTCTTTTTGAGACAGAGTCTTGTTGCTCTGTTAACCCGGGTCGAGTGCAGTGGAGTCAGCATAACTCACAGCAGCCTCAAACTCCTGTGCTCCAGCAATCTTCCTGCCTCAGCCCCCAAGCAGCTGGGACCACAAGTGCACACCACTGTGCCGGGCTAATTTTTCTATTTTTTGTAGAGATGGCGTCTTGCTGTTGCTCAGAATGGTCTCAAACTCCTGGCCTCAAGCAGAGTTCTCCCACCTCGGGCTCCCAGAGTGCTAGGACTACAGGCATGAGCCACTGTGCCCAGCCCTAAGAATGCTTTTTAAAGTTCATTTTTAATGTAATAACAAAGGCTTTTTCAAGTTATGTAAAATTTATAGAAAGTATGTTGTTAAGCTTTTCCCAGAATTTTTATAATTTTCAGGGTGTAAATTGACGTTGGTTTTAATTTTTTTTAGCTTTAGTACATAAGGGCATTAAAAATGAAATAATTGGCAGACACAGACACGGTTTCTATGGTTTAAAAACATATACTCTGATAAGAAAACAAAAACACTTGGTACTTCGAAAACCAGAGCTGGAGTTTGTAACCAAATAGAACCTAGTGTGTATGAAGATTGGTTTTTGTTTTTATTTTGTTTAAATTGATGTTCGGGAGTCTTTGTTTTTTATAACTAGTTGATATCTGATGGTTACGCTAGTTGAGAGATCCTCACAGTATGGAGAAAGGGCTGTGCTCAGTCTCCTCTTCCCAACCCACCCTCCTCTGCCCTTGAGCATCACGGCACTTGGTGAGGGTGTCATTGCACAATAACGTGGAAGCAGGAAGCAGTAAGGACCAGGGACCACAGCAAACCTGGAGGAGGGTTTGTTTGTTTTTGTTTTTGTTTCATGTTCTTGTGCAGTGGCCTTGCCACTCCCTGTTGTCTTACATGGACCTCCATTTACTTATAGGTGTTAATTTCCTGGTCCCTGAAGACATAATGAATTTGTAACCCTGCTAGACCAGTTGATAATAAACTGAGTACTAGCCATACTTCAGAAATGAGCAAAAGAGAAAAAGTGATGAAGAAGTTTATAAACCTGACTGTTTTCTTGGGAGTAGCCTGGGTTGAGTAGAATAAAATATGAGGGACAATAAACATTTATGTATAGATGGGGTTGAATTTTTCCTGAATTCGTTTTGTCAGCCAATCATGAAATGTCGTATCTTTCTTTAAGCAAATAATTGTCCATCTGGTGGTGTGTAATTATCCTGTGTGGATAAAGTAACCCCTCTTGTTTTAACAGTAATCAATTTGTTGACTGAAAAATGGAATCTTTATTTAGTCATACAGTAGTGTAAAGATATGCTGTATTGTAAAGATCTTAATGATACATTTTTACATACATTTTCAGTTGAATTTGCTGGTCAGAGTTTCTCGTAAAACACATTGTCAGAGAAATTTCTGCACTTAAAAATGAAGTAGACATCTTTATGTTCCTTGTTATTTCATCCTATCATTTAAATAAGTGACTCAAATTCTATTCCTTTAAGGTTTTTTTCCCCTAACAACTCTGAATTAAAAATTTATAATAAGTAAATGTTTTTCCTTAAACTTATTAACATAAGCTTCTATATGAAATTTGGTATTAAAAATACAATTGGTTTAAAGCATATTTTTAAAAAAATATTTCAAGATTTTTTTTCACCTTCAGTACATACCATAACATATCTGAGCCTCCTGCATTCCATTAAAGTCATTTTACTGTTAAGCTACAATTTTTTTCTAGTAAAATTTTTCTGTTCTTTTCTGTCTGCATAGTTTCTCTGACTCTCAACTGTTGTCTCTTTTCTGTGCTTTCCTATTCAAATACATGCTTCAATGTTTGTGGCTCTTGCTTACAGGAAGAAGAGGTGGCGGAGTCTGGGGTAAGTGTAGAGATGAATGCAACTGGAATGGAGGTTGTGCAACTCTTAACATATACTGCATCCTTTTCATTAAGCACGCACATAAATAGCATGCATTCTATTAACCCTGTCAACCTGCATTCCTGACAAATAAATGCCTTTTGCTAACAAGGTGAAAGTAGTGATAGAACTAGCTTTTTTTTTTCCCCCCCCACTTTTCCATTATTGACATTCTGTAAGTCCTTTTTAGATTTTAATTTAGCAAGGTCAGATGATGATGATGATGATGACAGTGAATATATGTTTTGTGCTTGCTATGTGCTGTTCTGAGTCTCTAAATGAATTATCTTATTTAATTCTCCTACCACCCTGTGAGTAGATACTGTTACTCCCGTGGTACAGATGGGTAAGGTAGAGTTGCCCGGAGTCTTACAGCTCATTAATGGTGAATCTAAACCTAGGTAGTCTGACTCTAGAGTCTACACTATTTTATTGAAATGCCCCATTTTATAAAAGTCAACATATTATCTAAATGTATGAAAATGGATGAGAAGTCTGTTTATAAAGTTTGCAGTTGAACTAGAAAAGGATTTTAATTCCTCTGGTCAACTAATGCCATGAGACTTTCAGCACTGTTTGACTTTTATTTTAAATTTTTTACCAGCTTTGATTAAAAATGCCCTTATCTCTTTTTAAAATTGTGATAGAATCAGAAACTGCCACCATTTGTTGTTAAAGTAGATTTAGGTCTCTGCTTCTGCATAACTGGATGTCTGTTAAGAATCGTGGAATGTCAAGGATCTTATAAATCATCTACCCAGTCCTTTCATTTTTAGGTGAAAAAGATGGCTTTTGTGGATGAAAGGATTGCATAAGAAGAATTTTGTTATTTTAAGAATGTAGTGAACCATGAAGTTAGACGCTTTCATTACATATAGGAAGAATTTTGCTGTGAGCCACCTCCTTTACTTCAGTCTTGTCTCATTTGTGGTCTTGTTTTTTGTTAAGCTTGGTGAACTTGACTTTCCTTCTACTTTATTCCTCCCTTCTCTGTGTGTTTCTCATGTATTTTCTTCTATGTCGTACATTTATGTCTTGGTCTTTTCCGGTTCTTCTCACTGAAAATAGAAATTAATACCTGGCATAACTATTCGAAAGAAGAATACTTGGACAATATATCTTAGTGGGTATTTGAAGTGATTGAATGACTTATGTTAACACATTCACTCTTTATTCAGCTGTAGGGTTGCATTGTATGATGCTTGCAAACATTAGGTATTTTCATTTATATTAGGATATTTCCTGTTTTGGAAGAAGTTTCGAAAATATTTTACTGTCATCTATCACAATGTTTTCATTTATTAGGATTTTGTATCTCTCCCAGATTCGTAATACCTACTGTTCCCCCTTTTTTGGATATCAGCTAAGATAAAATCATTAAATATTTGTATTAAAATGTTCTCCTAAATGTTGGGACTTAATTTTACTGCATTTCTTTGAATTCAAGACATCAGTTGTTGGGTGCACCATTATTTTATGTACCACTAAGAAAAATCACTGCAGTGTCTTGTTAGCACTGAGAAATTTTACTTTATGCTTATTGAAAGTGCTCTTACAGACTTAATGGATTTTTATCACGTAACACCCTTGTGCATACATGAAAAGGAACATATAACTAAAGTAAATTGGTTTAGGTCTCTCTAAAATTTCTTCATATTCAAAATAAGAATCTTCTGAATCATTGTTAGAGTCATTGGTTTCTGGGTTTTTCCCCCCCACACACACAGTACTGCTGTCTGTGCCATTCAGTGTATTGGTAAGGCAGCATTTCTTAAAGCAAGTCGTAAAAGAACTAAAAGCTACTACTGGTGCTGGGCGCTAGGCTGGCTTTGCAAATAATTAGAGCTAGCTTCCTTTCATCACCTGCTTTGAGAATGTTGTTGAACTTGTCAGATTCACTTCCTTCTTGGAATCATTTGGTCCCTGGAGGTTGGTTAAAAGGGTAGTTCATTAAAGTCACTGGATTTTCTTCAAAGTCATTCTGCAAGTTTTGAGGTTTCTGCATGTGTAATTAATGACAGTCATGTCACAGTTTCTGCCTGACCAATAGCAATTGAAAGTTGCCATCAAGTGTAAGACATGCTCTTATTTCAAAGATCTGAAAATGTGAAAAAAAAAAAATATATATAACACTTTTTCAACTATGTCTCACTTAATTTACAATGGATTTTAGTGTCTGTTTTAAACTGGCATGCGAGCACTATGGTCTATGTATTTAGAATATTTTTTTAAAACATGCTAATGTAGAAAATCCATAGATAACCTTATTAATATATTGGAATGGCTACTGCCTTCAAAATAAAAATCATCTAAGAACCTGTCTTTGCTACTCTCGTTAGAAAGAACAAATATGATTACAATTGCTGTTTTCCATTGATTCTAGAAGTAGTCATTGTAGGAGGTTTGCCAAGAAGAGTAGAGTTGAGTGAAGGTGTAGCTTATTTGAATTAGTTATTTCTGCCCCGGCCTGCGATTCCATCCCATTTAGAGGCTTTACAAAAGTAAGAGCCCAGATCCCAGATCATCAGTTCTAACACCCAAATATTGCCTAACCATTCAGTGGAAGCATTGAGTAGGTTTTTACTGCATATCTGATTTCTGACTATATTGAGTTGAATATAAATGCTGTTAATTTTCAGCTAGTATCTTATTGATCTCTTTGAATTTTGACCAGAATATGGTTACTGGTAAAATTGGTCAACATGCTCAGAGTGGGCCTGCTGTAGACAGGAATGGTGATGGCAATGGCATGTGCAAAGCAGCACAGACAAGCAGAGCTACTCTAGAAACTTCACTGCTGAAGAACCCTGGTGCAGAGATCTGACTGAGGGTGGACTTGTCCTGACCCAGGCTCTGGCCATATCTTCAGAGTGTAGATGCCCTCCAGGGCCGGAGGAATCCTTTTTCTTGCCACAGTTATGCCACGAGTCGCATAGTCACAAACACAGGTCTGATGGAATATGTCACTCAGGGGGAATTGTTGTCTCATTCTTTTTAATTCTGTACTTTATGAAATCTTGATCTTAATTCAGAACATCACTATGTGTACCAGATTACTTTGCATTAATGCTCTTCATCTTTTAACTCATTTACATAAGCATGCAATAGCATTAACAGAAAAAAATCTTTTAATCTTCAATCTGCCATGCTTAGTTCTCATCTTTATAGCTCCTTACTGTGATCTCCATCTTCTCACAGGTCACTGAGTCAAGGCAGCACGAATTCCAACATGCTGGATGTTCAGGGAGGTGCTCACAAAAAAAGGGCGCGGCGCAGCTCTCTGCTCAATGCAAAGAAGCTGTATGAAGATGCCCAAATGGCAAGGAAAGTAAAACAGTATCTTTCCAGTCTGGACGTAGAGACAGACGAAGAGAAGTTCCAGGTGATGTCATTGCAGTGGGAGCCCGCATATGGGACCCGTGAGTACACGTTTTCGTTTACGTGACACCACAGAGCACAACAGAATAGCAACTTGTTTTTCTAGAATTACGCTGGAGTCCCAAGAAAATTATTAACTTTCATTCACAAAAAATTACTGGCATACCGCAAGCATCATGTGATCTTATTAATTAGGTACTGAGTTCCATCCATTCCTGTTGGTTTACCCTATGCAAAAAATACAGGGATAAATAGTTCTTTTAGAAGTTTTATAAAGCTTTTTTTCCATGTAAAAATTGGAACATTGTAGAGGAACTTTCTGGTTGTGAACATTTTTATGTTCATCCCTAAATGAAGAATAAATGTAAGTGGAATTTTTACCTTTTTTTATTTCACAGATAATATCATTTACTAACTAGAAAATATAAGAAATTTGATTAAAACACTAGAGATAATAGGCTTATAGGTGCCAGTAGTAAGGTAAAACCAGAACAATCAGACACAGTCTAATACTGTTAATCTGTAGAAAGTATGTTGAAAAAGATCCTATTCCGAATACTTATTTTTTTTTTAAATAAGTACAAGCAGCAGAAGCCTATGTCTTTGTATCAAGGACTTGTAAGAGCAGAAATCAAAGATGGTGAAATATATACACTGTTGTAACCAATAAAAAAAAATGATTGGTCTTATGTTAAATTATACACTGAATGTTATGCCTGTAAAAATGGTAATAAAATTCTATTTCTGAGTTCCTGATTGACAGAAATGATAGTCATCATGGATTGACCCTAAAATGGATTAATGATGTGGTATTTACATAGTAAGAGAAAAATTATGTCAACATAATAGAAAAGAGAAAGTGGAAATAGAACCAAATACTGATTTTGAAAAATTCAGACATGACGGTAAATTTTAACATACAGAGTAAGGAACCATTCAGTAAATGCTGTAATTGAAACAGAGTATCTTGAATACTTCTACCCATAGGAAAGGAATTGGAGTGTGAAGAAAGAATAGCTACGAAAGGATACAGGCGGAGTTTGAGTCTCATTTATTACCCTTTGGGCAAGGTTCTCTGTATCTCAGGTCTCTGTTTTCACAAACGTAAAACTTTGGCAAGAGTTGGGAGTACATTTTATCTCTGTGATTTTTTTACATCAAACCTATTAAATTTGGGGAAAAAAATAATAAAAGCTAACAATTATTTAGAGCTTTCTACATGTCAGCAACCAGGCCTAAGCACTTTATAAACGTTGCCATTTACTCCTCACAGCAACCTCTGAGGTGTCCAGTTTGGGATTGTATTCTAATGAGACAGTGCACCCAAAAAATGTGCTTGTATAAAGATCTTGCAATATGTATTACAGTGAAAAACCACTCGGATATTACAATGCTAGAGCATAGTTAATTATGACTATTTCCTTATCAATGCAAGCAATGATGGCCATTAAAAATAATGTGTATATAGAATTAGAAGGTATATGGCAAAATTTCTTACCAACATGAGACATCAAGAATAGTGTCAGCCATGTGAAAATGGTACATGTCCAAGGTAAAGACTGAAAGCATATATAGAACCTTTAATGTGTATTCATGCTTTAAAGTTCGAAGCCTTATACATATTTAATTTATTAAAACCCTCTGACCTTGCTTTGAATTATCA